CCAAATAAAGTGTTATTCAGCTACGTACTAAACATTTATGTTATCTATTTATACGACAAGCTTCGCATTTCCATGTGTCATCGTTGCGGAAATAATGCGACCTGAAGATCAAAAATAGCTGAGTGCGTTACCTGTGGACAGGCCGTATACGAGTCGAACATTGCTTCAACTTTGGTACACGTATATTTCGATCACCTTCATATATGAGAAAGTAATTGATATATATGTGCTTAAAGTTTGAGATAATGTTCAACCCATGACTTAGTCGTATTTTCAACCGATAGAGCTTGGGTCCAAATACGAATCTGTAGAGATCTGTTAATAGTAACAATTTTAGCGCGATCGGCAGACATCTCCAGTGAAAGTAGGCGGCAAGACTCCATCGATAAAACTGAATAAGTTTTGTTCAGATCTATCGTCGAGGATAACATTTCCTTTGCTAAATTCTCCCTAAATGTTCACCGAAGACAGAGCACTATTGATTGTTGTTGGATCTATCGATTTTTACGAATACCGTATATTATAATGAACTCTGTCAAACAGAAAAACAATATATTTCGCAATCATTGCACAAAAAATATGATCGTTTGCTAAAAGACGTTACCCAAGAAAATTGTTTAATAATTTCGAAATAGATTCCTTCTGGTAACTCGTCATATTCTACTGAGCAATTCAAATTAAAACTCCTCTGTAACTTTTCTTGGAGATGACATGTGAGTTTTTCGAAAAAGACTCTTGGTCGATCAAAGATCTTTAAAGAGTTAAATACGACTTTTTTCCGGAGCGACACGGTCGAGCAGCGATGGAATTTTCTTCATAGATTAACATTTTATTGAGCTACTCACCGATGTCATTATCGTCGATGTGGTCGATTGAAGGTGACATGCTTCTTGGCTCCTTCGATTTGGTTGACACTGTTGTAGAGTGGTTAGCTTCTGATAGAAGAACAGGAGTGTCTCCATTCTTTCTCGGAAACGACCTGTTTCTTTGACGATGGCCTTCAGAGCACATTGTGCACATGTCATGACTGCCCATGTTGGTGAATGTGCACACTGGGCAGTCCCACTCACGAAGATCGCTGTCTCTTTGGTAGGCATTGCGAGCGTTGATCGACATAGGATTGGTAACGTTGTACTGACGATCGTTCTGATGTTTCTTCTTGTCAATATTCTAAACTTAGTTATGCAACAGTCACTTTTTAGGCTCAGAGTGTTGACAAATACGTACAACTTCTCGTTGGCTTAATAGAGCTGTCGTCACTGAAGGCTTACATTCATCTGGCGCTAAGTCAGTCAAGTCAATACCGAGTGGGAGGGGAACTTTGAAGTCTGGTGATATGAAAGGCGTTTCTATCTAATAAGCAAAACAAATGCTGCTAAAGGCTACTTTTAAAAATCCATTTTCTTTCTATCCGAGGCAAAAACACTTTCGATCGAATGTTTTAGAAAACGAGGAAAAAACTTCAACAGAACGATAAAGCGAAATATCTGTAGACTTTCGTTATGTCATGTGCCACTAATTCAATACATAGAACGCTGGAAATGTTTCTCAAGTTTTTCTCTCTCTCACTCTCTCTCTCTCTCTTGTACAATATGTATTTTTCCCAGTTTTCCTAAGAGATCTTCAGGTAGCTGAAATATACTATATATAGTTGTTAATTTACTGAATAAAGTGTGTGTAACAGTTACATTCTTCTTTGGCTATTAACCATTGGATGCAAAACGATTCTGAAAGGAATAACCTCACATTGGTGCACTAGCCAATTGTTTGTCAATCCAAAATCACAAACAAATCAAGAACCCGTCAAAGAAAACTTGATATGGCATCAATCGCGGATTTAGAGTCAATTACTGGCGATAATAATCAAGAAATGTCAGAATGGCTCATTAGATTTAATATATTATGTACAACAGCCAACATTCCAGATGAGGAACGAAAATTAGCCTTACCATTATTTTTACGATCTGATACTGTGATAAACTGGTTCATTGATACAGATTTGGATCATTTAAGTTGAGAAGATCTACAAAGAACGTTGATAAGAACCTTTGAATCACAACAGTATCAAACTCATCCACAACACCATCAGATAGTATATGATCAATACTCATCGACATCAGCAGATATAAATTGCCAAAAAGACTAGAAATGATCTGCGCACAATTTTAAGAAGATAACAAATGCCTTGTATGTAAAGGATATTGTCTTTCTGCACATTTCGTTTGAAAGCGGAATAGCAAAACATCTTCAATAACAACACACGTGCATGACGTATAAGTAATATTAAAAAGATGGGTTAGTTTATTGACACTCCTGGGAGTGTCAACTAGGAGCTATTGCTACTCCCAGCAACTATTTGGGAGTGTCAACGAGAACGTCATCTGGCATATGAGTGGTCTGACGCCTGAACGTTCCTCGAACTATACTTTGACTCACAACATTCGGATTGTATATTCGCGTCGTCACAGGTATCTCACTGAGCATAGAGGGGAGATGGCAGGTGAATAGTGAGAATCAGTAAAAAAGCTGAAAAACTAATAGACGAAAATTGATTTTGGCTGGAGAGCATCCGATATTTAAGCAACCTAATCTGTACAGATCTTTTCTACAGTCCAGCACAATGTGAAACTCGTTTGAAGTCACCTGCTTTCTACACCTATGGTTAGATTGAGTGTTCAACATACTGACTACTAGAAATATTTCCCTTATATACGTTTTTGTTATATCGAATCTCACCTATTAGATTTTCGGCTTTTTCACTGGGGATTCAACAGAATAAGATATCTAAGATGATCACTTCAATTACAAAGTAGAATTACTTTGTACAGAAAGACCGCCGTAACTTATTTTCTAGTTTCGATGCGGCTAAAAAGAACGTTTTGGAACGTGAAATTAAAAAACATGGCGTTTCGTCACGTGCGTGGCAAGAACGGAGTAAAACGCGAATTTTAATTATTGGATTTCAACGCTTTTATTAAAAAGACTTTTCACATACGCTTTCTTTTTTCTTTTCACTTTTCCATTAAACGCGTAGGAAAGCGTGCTCTTATCTTATAGTTTCAGTGCGTTGACAAAATTAACGCAAAGCAAGGCGTTTTTATAGTTTCTCGTTTCAACGCTTCTACAAGAAAACCGGATTAAAGCGCGTTTTTTAA